GCCAAAATAGAAAAATAAGAATCATCTAGTATAATGGAATTTTCTTATCATTCAATCTCAACGAGAAAAAGAAAGAAAGAGAATCTTACAATACCGAATTCAACATTTATTTTCTTTCGTGCATAGTAGAGGGAAGCTACGAAAAATTCTATTGGAATGCGAGTATACACGCGATGTATATCGATAAAAATCATGTAAATATATGTATGTATATAATATACAAATTACGTGTCACGTTGTTTGTCCGCAATGGACTCCTAAACTACTGAACCGATTTTAATCAAATTGTATACACTGTGTGCAGTTTTATCCAACTTCAAAGATAGGATCGTTTATATCTCAATTTATAATCGCAATATTATTTTATTGCCAATTATTTGATTGTGAGCCACAGCAACGCGTGACGGGACACCCCTATATGTATGTATATAAGTAATCCCGTAAAGAATGAATGGGAAAAAATGTAGGAATAAAATTTTGGGTTTAAAATAAAATCGATTATGACGAAAGCCACGAAATAGAACTAAATTTGGTATAACAGCCGTGAACACGAACACACTTAAGAGAAACAAAAACACGATTAATACACAGAGGTATGCTTCGTACGAGAATGCACCGAGAATTCTATAATTATCATCACACGTGCCCCCATATCTGGTAGATAACCGGTGGCGGCTGCACACGTGCTCTGATGCTACTAACATTTCCATACGTCAGCCAATATTCGTAGATGTTTTTAAATAACTATATCGCTTATAACTCTCTTTCTCCTTCCACAACCCTCTACTCTTCTAACTTGATTTCTTAATATAGACATCTACATTTACCCTTAAGTCGATATTAACATCGATCTTTACACCGAATTTACTCATTAGACGATTTAGAAACAGTCTTCGGAAACCTTACAAACCTAATGACTGATAATATGAGTACGAATCCATCGTATTTCTTACTTGCCTAATCGATAAACAAAAAAAAATGAACAAACACTTTTGAAATTTATTCTCGTCCAACACAGGGACACCTATTTTGCATAGAAATTTCTTGTTTCTATTTATTTCAAATATATATATTTTCAACAAGAAGAAAAAGAAAAAAGGGAAACAATATCTTGAGCGTAGATAAAAATCCTTTTCTTCTTCGAAGGAAAATGTAAGCGGACGCGCCAAGGTAATTTAGATTCTTTTTTTCTCTCTCTCTCTCTCTCTTTCTTTCTTTCTTTTTTACTTTTTGTCTATAAGGAAAATCCCCGACAAAGCATTTTCCAGCTTCCACAAGCTGGAAAAAAAGGAGAAAATTGCGACGAGAAGAAGGAAATTCCTTTGAAGGAAATCCTTACAGGAGAATACACAGATTCTTTTACGACGGAGATTTACAAAGTTGAACTTCGCAAAAGTGCGCAACTATTTTCAACCTGGTTGTTCTTTCTCTTCTAATCGATAAGAAAAGAAAAAGAAAATATGAACAAGAGAAGAGAAAAGAAGAGAAGAAAATAAGACAAATCTTGATAAATAATAGGTGCGCTTATTTTGTTTATCAAACTAAAATAGTATTCGCGAAAATGTTGATATTTCGTTTGAAAAAAAAAAAAAAAGTTAGGCCTTGGGGCGTGATTCGTAGAAAGAACCTCCCTCTCGCTCGGCACAAAAATAAAAGATCTTGTAATTGAACAAAATGTTTTTCTTTTTTTCTAAAGAAAATCCTCGACGAAGTAATTCGAATTTTCAAGCTTAAAGAGAGAGAGAGAGAGAGAGAGAGAGAGAGGAGAAATTGCAAACTGGCTAGTAAATTCCTTTGAAGAATCCTTGTGGGAGAATACGAAGATTCTTTTTCAACGGAGATTCGTGAAGTTAAACTTCGCAAAAAAGCACATTGGCTATTTTAAACGGGGTTGTTCTACCCCAAAGAAAACACACATTGAATTGATCGTTGAATCTTTCATTCAATCGAAAAAGAAAATATAAATCTACCAAGTAATTCTTTATCTTGTATAAAATCAAATGAACTTTGCGTAGGATTTGTGTGTGTGTGTGTATGTGTGCAAATGAAAAACTTTCAACTAATCATTGTAATAAAAGATGTAACTTTGTATCAAATCAATCATCTTCTCACAATCTTGAGAATGTTCATCACTGCACGACAAATTCAATATGGGGTTTCTTTTAGCAAAAGGATTATCACTAGGCTTCTAAGTATCATTACGTGCCACGATTGTAAATCGATATACACATATACATATACTGAAACTGTATTTGTAAATAATTATTTTTCTTTAATCAAAACTTACAAATGATATCCATGTAAAATATAGACACCAAAGTATACCGTAAGAAATATGTTAAATACATCCATATGTTACAATTTATTGTACAATAATGTTGAATTTACAACTAATACTATTTCTCATATTCACCAGCAGATGTATTATAATGTGAAATGTTTTGTTCTAGTTATGAAAGTGAATGATATCAGATAAGTCAAATTGATGTTCTATAATTTACATAGATATGTACACATTTGTCATAAATATACAAGATAAGTATAGAGAACATATTTTCAAGTTTATTCTAAGAAAATAAACGAAGTGGTCATTTCGAAATGATGAAACGAGTTATAATAGTGTGACGAAAACATTATGCGATCTTTATATCTGTTGTGAGTAAAATAAGGTAACCCAAATTAATAAGAAAATGACAAGGTAAGTAATGTAAGATGTATAAACGAGAACCCATTAATTTTGTAAAATCTTTTGAAGAAGAAGAAGAAGAAGAAGAAGAAGAAGTTTCTTTGTACTCTAACCGATTCTATGGAAAATAGTAGACGGACCCAAGTAACGTCGGTTATTATATCGATTTTCCTTTACCAGCTCGAACCATTCTACCTCTTTCGTCGACGCATTTAACTTGCTAACTTAATAGAAAATTTTCGTCCCAACAGAATATTATTTTCCATGACTCGTTGTTCTTCGAACGATCTTTTTTATCGATTTTGTGTTTTACTAATAAAAAAAAAGAAAAAAAAAGAAAAAAAACAACTAAACAAACAAGAGAAAAGAAAAGAAAGTAAAATAAAGCTGATTCCTCGTTTCATTTCACGTTCGATCGGTTCGAAGAGCAAAACCTATCCTATCCTTTTAATTTGTCCCTCAGTCATTTACAGTTGATAGGTTTACTTAATACGATCGAATGTTCCTTTTTCCTAGTCTAGTTTTTTAATTAAAACACTAAAAAGAATAATAGAAAAATTTCATTGAGAAAGAACTTTATGACTTTATCTGGATAAAATATAAATAAATGTTATTTTATGTTTTAAAAAAAATGATCTGTAACTGTTCACAACCGTGAAACTATTATTATCAAACCAGCTCTCTCTCTCTCTCTCTCTCTCTCTGTGACACATAAAATGAATTTACTTAGAAAAAAAAAAAAAATGAAAAATACAGTAACTATTGAATCATACAAACGAGATAAATGTATATAAGTCAGTAGGACAAGTTGTGATTTGAAAGAAAAGATAAAATATCTCACCGGTAACGAGCACTACGCGTGAGAAGGAAACATTGTTAATCGTAGTCGCGATTCAGGAAGTTACTTCTCTACGTTGAAATATAATATATTCCACATTGCACACGTTGTTCTTATATATACCTTATATGAAGTATAATTCGTGATGTTGTTGTAGATAAAAACACGTGCAAACAATAACCAAAATTCATTTGACAATAACAAACATTAATCATTTTCTCTTGAATTCAAATAAAAATGACAAATGTCAAAAATCCATTGCTTTAAACTCACTATTGTTAAAAACACAGTAGCAACAAAAGTAGAAGCAAGAAAAAATTCTTATCACGATTTAACAATATTGAAAAAAAAAATAATGTTCATCGACGATTACGATCACGTTTTAGCTTCATACTTCGACTTAAGCGAATAATAGCAGAGTGGTGGTGGTGGTATCACGCGCGATAACACCTGATTATGAACACGAAGTTAAAAGATAATGGATGATACCATACCGTTTTATAAAACATACTTTAAATCATTCATTTTCTATATTTAAATCTCAAACAATTCGTAATTATTTACAACGTACGATTATTATTCTAAATTATTTGTTATTTTCACCTATATATTTCGTATATTTAAATACGCTATTCGATATTCGATACTATCGATTATATCGGTACGATCGTTCGAACTCAATATGGCCGATCTCCCGCCAAATTTAAAATGCTATGTTTTATGTTACATTGATATCATTCGAAGAATTGTTTTATTTGTTATTGTCAAAGAGAACTGTAAATACAAATGTTATTCTTTTCACGTCAAGTTTTAGCAAACGATTACGATATGAAATTAGGAAGAATGTAAGAAAATGAGCTGGTACAAAATAAGGTAGAGAAATAGAAAGGAAGGAAGAAGAGCACAATTACCTTTATATTCGCGCCCTAGCCTAGCTCTCGTTTGTGATTTTACGGTATGCACTAAAAATAGCCAGCACCCATAAAACTGTTTGGTGAGAGAATCTCGAAAGAGAGAGAGAGAGAGAGAGAGAGAGAGAATATCCGGACGACGCGAGCGCGGTTTTAAGCAGTAACGCCCCGTAACCTCGATATTCGATCACCGTCCGAAACTTCTCTTAATTTGCAACAATAAGGATCAAAGATGAAAAAAAAACAAATAAAAAGAGAGAGAGACAAATAGAACAAAATAATAATAACAATAAGATATAAATATATATGCATTTACGTTCATAAAAGAAAAGAATAAAAATAAACATTTATTATTATTTAAAAATGAAAGCAATAAAATAAGGGGGGTAACTTTAATAGGGTTGACGTTCTGATTACACGAGAAATGATAAAAGGTAGGATATAAAATAGGCGCGAAATCCAAAGACAAGTTGATTTCTAAAATCGGTTGACAATCTTACTTAAGAACGATTAAGTTTTGATTAATTGCTTGAGAAATGTTAGATGAACATTTCAATGTACTCACTTTGTTTGTCTCCAGGCTGACAGAAGAAAGCCCATGTCCCATACCGAGGTAGTAGTTGTTCATTTTGAATCGACGATCTGACCGTGCGCGGCACTTGGAAAATCGAACAACTGTCGCTTAGTCTTATACATGTATAACCTCATCACTGTTTATTTCTAATTTCGTCATTTTTTAATTTAACTTTACGAACTTTTCAATTAACAAATTGGAAAATCTTATAGGACCGATTTTCACGACGAAAATCGTTCGATCGCGCGTGCCTGCGCTCGCACAAACGGCTCTTAGGAGTCCATGACAGGTACGAGCCACGGGTATGGCCAGGACGCGCATGCGCACTTACACTATTCATCCATATTTTCTTTCTCTCTCTCTTTGTTTCTTTTTTTTCATTCACCCTAACGCCATCTTTCGTCATATCATATAATCAACTGGCTGATCGGTCAAAGATCAGTCGGTAAGTAGATAAAAAAAATTGAAATGAAAATTTTATCCTAACAAAATAATTCAATATTGACAATACGAATAAATAAATGTGAATTACATATTTAATGTAACATTGAAAAAGAAATGAATCTTTTGCTTGGGTCAAAATGATGAAAATGTGACGAAATGATACCTTCGAAACTCTCTCTTCTCTTCTACTCATATTTGATTTAATAAACACAAATATAAAAATTCAACAAGGATTATTATCATTTCAAATTAAATTAAGAGTATTATTAGCGTATAAATAATATCAATGCATTGGCTAAATCTCTTACATTAAGTTTAAATGAATGAAAGAAAGAAAGAAAGATTACACGGATTTTGTAATGTTTAATGAAATTCAATTGTGCATATTGTTTTAAATTTCTGTTTTGTTATTTTATGTCATACTCAAAGATTAACAGATATTTAAAATATTTTAATATGTCGTTCATGAAGACAAAGTAATACATATTTCTTTGGAGTATACACATATAATGTATGTATATATATGCATATGTGTAAATATATATATATATATATGTATATATACGTATATATACATATTTATATTTTTTGTTGTTTAATCACATGAGTAGAATTCAACAAAGACAGACGAAAGCGATCATTCGTATTTACGCTATTACCATCGATCCAAAAATGTATACTCACAATTTTATAAATTATGACAAACATATTTAATAATTTAACATTCATCAGAACGATCCTTACAATATATTATTACGTAAACGATCTACTGCGGCGGCAACTGTACAAGGGCAGTTTTTAACGATGATACCAAATTGATCATTATTTTTCATTAGATTTCTGGTCCCATCCCAACAGAAAGACCAGTATTAAACATTATCAATAATAGAGACCGCAAAATTCAATTTGTTTTCTATTTAATGATTCTACGAATTTGCAAAGTTCATAGTAATCATTTAACGTAATCTATAGTAAATGTTAAAGCATTTTAATTTATCATTTAAAATATCAATGATAATTATGTGTATATACATATATATATATATATTTTTTTTTATATATGTATATGTATGCGTGTACGTATATATTTATATAAATAAATCGATGATAAAACAATGACACAAAGGAATTGCATCCTTTGGGATAAAGATATTATTTCTCATCTAAATACTTGACTTTTTCTAAGTTATTTTTTAATGTTTTGGATCGTTGCATTGAAAAAATGCGTCGCAATTAAAATGATTTTTAAGAAAATTTTATATATATATATATGTATATCTGATTTGAGATTACTCATTTACACAATGCAAAGGACGAGACTTTACTAGCACCGTGTCTCATATAAGCCACTCCGACCTATGTATCTAACCCATTTAATAACATCATGATCAGAGTAATTCAACTTAGATTCAAATACTTTCAGATAGCGAACTTTAAAACCAGATGGTGCGAATGGTACCTCAAAGTTCATTGATATTGGCGGCCTTGTCCATTTCTTTTTCGTATCCGTTTCGAGCAAATCGATTTCTGCTGAAAGTTGCGTCTCCTTCATACCAGCCATTCGTTTAATCTTCCAAACAATAGCATTTTCAGATGCCTTATATTTCGCTTTTCCTTTCAAACAAATCAATTGTACTCCTGCAGTATTTAATGGCGTTGGTACGCGTACTTCTATCTTTTGTCCCAATAATGACGGCTTAAAATTTGATTTCAAAACAGCTTTAACTTCCATTTTCGTGCGACCTACTTCTCGAACCAATGGAATCACGCGAAAAGGTAACGATATATCTTTCGTAGTGCGATACCTGAAATAAAATAGCATTAATACAAAAAAAAAATATCATCTTAAAAAGGAAGATAAAAATGTATTTACCTCATCAATTCAAATTCACCATCGGGTGGTATAAAACTAATGGAATGTTCTGTTTCAAATTTACTTAGCTTGACGCATTGATGAAATTGGCAATCATCAATAACAACAACAGGTTTACCAGATCTAGCAGGATCATCACCACCACCTCCTAAGCTTCCTCCACCTTTTATACCTTTAGCTTCCATAACTATTTTGTCATTGATACCAAATTTACATTCTGGCATGCCAGACAAATATGACTTCATAACCACCTATGATCAAAATAAAAGAAAATATTAGTAACATGTATTAACTATAATTAATGAATATTAAATATTATAGAGATAATTGACCTTTCCTGCAACATGTGCACTAAGAATTTGGCCTTGCGGGCTCATCAAGAGATTCACATATTCCAATACATCCAAGAAAAGTTCATTGCGCCGATATTTGATACCTTCTCGTCTCCATCCAATCTGTCCAGTAACTTGCGATGTTATTTGAGCTTGTTCTTCTTTCGTTGCTGACTTAACTCCTTGCTGAGTGATAAACGTTTTCAATACACCAGTATCGCAATTTTGGGGATAACCAAAATCTAAAATTTCTGTAAATTCCTTTTTTTATAGACAAAAATTATATAAAAACATCAATGATAAATAATAAAAAGAAATGAACTAACCATCGAGTAATTCATAGATCAAAACAAAGTTGTTCTTAATATTTTCTTCTGATATTTTGCCAAAATATGATTGCATGACATCGATGATCTTAAGAAGAAATTCAAATACCATAGCAGCATTGACATTTTGCTTAGTTACAGCAGCTAGCCAGATATTAGCACGTTTAATATGAAAAAAGGATGTTCTTGCAATATTGGTCACAGGAGAACGTACTTGCTGACGTGCATGAATGACATTGACACGAAATGCATCGACAGCATTTCGACCAATGTCATCACGGTATACTCTGGAAATGAGTACCTCTCCTTTATGATTATAAACAAATAAACCTCCAATCATCTTGATGGAGGGAATTCCACTTCTATAATTATAACAAACCTGCAAAGAAAAAAGAAGAACAAGAGTCAAACCAATATTTTTCATATTGTCACAAAAAAAGAGATTAATTCAAACAATAAATGAACATTTATGTTAAAAATTATTATTATTATTACAAAACAAACTAATAAATAAAAGACACTTCATAAATGAGTATTAAATTCAACACTTAAATAAATTACTGGTAATCATTGTGAATCTAAATAAAAATGAAGAAATTCGAAAGATATCGATGAAGACGAACAAATGAATAATTCTAACGTACGTTTTATATGTTTAAAATAATATAATAATCCTGGTAAAGTGATAGATAACGCCCCATCGTCACTTTACGAGTGACATTTTCTACTATTGCATCTTCGAGGCGGTTGGTATTATCGATCGGAAAGGAATACTACTATTTCTACAGGAGACATCAAAATGATAAAATATTAAATATTAAATTAAAATATATCGATACGTACTTTTAGGTTAATATATTAGAAAATATTTTAACGTCACTTACTCATTACTATATCATGCAGCTAACATGGAAAGTAAAACTAATTTCGAACGAAGCCGTAAGCTTTCGAGGAACGAGTACAGGCCTATTGGTACCAATGCAAACTACTGACGAAAGCAACACCCACTTTTCAATACTACGTTAGTCAAACTAAATGATTCGCGTACAATCTAATCTTTTTCTTAACTTATTTTCAAATATATAAATATTTCAAATAAATGTATTATTATAATAATTGCATTTATTTCATCAATATTTATCTCTTCTTTTTGTTAATTAAATGATATATTAAGTTAACATACATTTACTATAGTTGACAATATGACTCAAAAGTAGTAGGTTATACGTGTGACCCTTATCATATATATATATATATATATATATATAATATAGAACATATAAATGCTTATTTTTTTATTTTTAATTTCGAGATTGTAAAATATTATCATATTTTATTTTATTATCAAAATAATAATAATATTATTATCGAAAATTTGAAATTGAAAATTTTGGTTTTGTACGTTTTTTAATAATTAATGATTATCCATATTCTACCATCTACATCTATAAAACTAAACAGGGTGATCAAAATAATCTCTCATTATATTCACATAAATCATAATTGTAATACGGTTAAATAATAAAAAAAATATATATAAGAAAATTTGATTAAAATTACATTTAATAAAAATCTTCTTCCATTTTTTTAGCATCGGTTGATTTATTCTTAATCTGTTCTTGATTATTATACATCTCTGCTACTTGCTGTGCAGTTGTAGCATCCTCAGTATTTTTATCATCACGCACACGTATAAAACGTGGAAACCGAACTGATATGCCTTTTTCTGAATCAACCTAAAACAAAGTATAAAAATAATACAATGATATTATTAAAATAAAGTACAGCAATTGAAATATAAGAAAGAAAAATATTTTACGATTCCTATGGCAGCTCTATGAACAGGTGACAGAGAAAGATCAGCACATTTAATTTCCCAAACTTGAACAGGTTCAAACCAATGATCCGGCTCATGACTAGAATCAAAACGATAATACGACTTTGATTGTTTTATCAAGTGTTCTTTGAAAAATTGTGTATGCTTTAGTAAATCTTCTTCGCTAAATCCAGTTCCAATCTGTAATAGAAATTTATGTATAATAATTTTGTCTACTTTATTAATTTATAATACATATTAATTTAAGTATAAATAGCATACTTTACACAAACTCTGATACTCCTCATTTTCTTTATCATAGCAAGCCAGAAGAAAACCTCCATAAGTACCAGTTCTCTTCCCTTTTCCAATATATCCACCAATTACAACTAAATCTAACGTATCACCCATTCCATCTAAATAATCTTTCTTCAATTTCAACCAATTTCGAGAACGTTTAGCAATTTCGTACGTTGCTTCTTTTTCTAATGTTTTAATCATTAGTCCTTCACAATTTCCTACAAAATAAATTGATATATTATATCTTTAGATATATGTATTAATAAACTATCAACATAAATGGAAATAATTTGCAACCTTTTACAGATTCTTCTAAAAATTCTTGAACTTCTTCCATTTTCGACGTATCCAAACATGTAGCAAATGTCCACTCTCCCTCTACTTCTGTAAAACATTCTTTTAAAAGTTGACGACGTTCTTGAAATGGTTTTTGAACGAGAGATTCGTCGTTTAAATATAATAAATCGAACATAAATACACAGACTTGTACTTTGATATCCGCTTCGTTAGCATCCTACAAAAATTAAATTAATAAATATAATGTTTTATTACATGTTGTATAATTATAGTCAATTAAAAAATATTACTTTTCGTTTACGTGTACTCAATACTTGGAATGGAAGAATTTGTTTCTTTTCGTTATCCCAAGCCACTGACTCACAATCGAGAATGCAATTCTTAACATTTTCTTTGCGTGTATTTTTGAAACGAGAGATAATATCAGGATACTTAGAAGTATTATTTTCTTGATTCCTACTATAAATACTAATTTCACCATTGTCTTTCAAATGAATCTAGAAATTTATTGAAATGAATTATTTCAAATTCTAATAGATTTGATATTAATTATAAAAACAAACCTGTGCTCTTTCACCATCGTATTTCCACTCGCATGTAAACTTCAAACCTTCGAATCGCGTCAAAACTTCTTGAACTCCCTTTGTGGGATGTGCCAGCATAGGTTTAATTGGTATTCCTGGTGTAATTTTACATTTTTCTTGTAGAGCTTGAACTCCTTCTTTTAATAGCACTGGTACAATTAAATCATAATTAGGACATTCACTGAAATATATAATAATACAATAATTAAACAGGAAGGAAATTGATATATTAATATTTATTAAATAATAAACCTTAATAAAGAATTCATACCAATAAGTTGTTTTAATTTTAAGAGCAATTTCATCATATTTTTGTTTGAAACTATCACGAGACATATTTTTACTGACATCTAAAATTTCAAATGGATAATCTTGTTCAGGTGGTGTTTTAGTAACCGCTAATGCTATTGCCTAAAATTTACTTTTTATATAAATAATTATCATTACAGTTTACATTCACTTTTATTGAGCAATGTTTACCTGTAAAAGAGATTGCTCTGCTAAACCCACTCGAAGTTTGCCAGCTAAAGATCTAATAAAGAATCTAGCTTCAGTCAAACGACATGCAACGAAGAGACTCTGAATTTTATTTATTTTTTTTGAGAGAGACTGTAAAAAGAAAATAATTATTACATACATTGTCGATATAAAAGTTTAACATGAGTTTATAGTTTCACTTACAGAGTGTCCTATCATTTGTGCAATATCTTTCAAGCCTGTATATACACGAGATACCGTAAGTGGTGTTGGTTGGAACATCGTCCTCTGATTTGAACGACTTCCTTCGGCAACAACACCTATGTCGCCAACACTTTGTACATCTGCTTTTAACTGAGCCAATGTTCGACCAGTACATTGTGCTATTGCTTTCAAAAGATTAGTTTCTGCCACTCCTAAAATAATACCTAAAAACAATTATAATTGTATTAGTTTTTTACTTTTATAATTGTTATTAATATTACGTTATCTTAAGTTACCTTCATATGCAGGTGCTAACTGATTCAAACATAAATATATACTGGGTAATAAATCGTTTGGACTTAAAACTATGACAGAACGAAAGTAATTCGATAATATGTCAATAATTTTTAATCTCGCACTTGTTTCTTCTATTAACTCCAAAGTTCTAGTCAATGCAATATATGGTACCCTAAAAATTAAAGTAAAAAGAAAACATTTTAATTTCAATATTTACAAACCACACAATGATATTTCATATACATTAAAAATTGATTTACATTTCATCCTTCTTCCAGCAAGCATCATTAATTGGATGATAATTACTTTTACTTGGATCGTAACAATCAACAGTTGATTTTTTGCTGTCCTCCGTATCAGCTTTTGGAGATTTATTTCCTTTGGGTGCTAAGATTATAAGAATATTCATTAATATAACTAATTAATATAACATAGTATAATTATTATCTTATAAAACTATTTATATATTTACCAAAGAAATTATGGGTTTTCTTATCAGCTTTTTTAGGAGTTTTAGATTTCTTGACAATTTCTTTTTCATCTTCAGAACTACTTTCAAGAGTTTTTTTATCTGCCTCTTTAATAGATTTGTTTACTTCTTTTTCATCTTCTGAATTACTTTCAAGTTCAGTATCAGATTTTTGTCCAGAAATATTTTTGTCTTCTTTATTATCGACTTCTTTGGAATTATCCAGTAACTAATATTTATTCTTTGTAAGTTATGGAGTAATAAGATAAAATATACTTAACACTTTAATAGCCAGGAATATTTTTAAAGAATTAATTTAAATAGCAGTAGCATCACACACATGTTGTGTAAGCGGCCACTAGAGTGTTAATATAATAGTAGTAATAATAATTTATAAATTATATACTCACAGATTCATGATTTTCTTCATTACTTTTAGAATCATCTGACTGAAGTTCTATTGAAACTTTGCTTTCTTTTTCCCCATTTTTCTCATTTTCCTTTAAAGAAGTTGCAGTTTCCTCTATTATAGTTGATTCAGATTCAGGACTTGAATCTGATGGCTGTTGTATTCTTTTAAACTTTTTAGTAACTTTCTTAGGCGTACAAGATCTCTTATTCTTTCTCTTTTCTTGAGCTATTAAAATAATATAAAATGAAATGAGACTTTACAATAGACATTATTTATTTCTGACGTATTTGGTATGAATGTGTAACTTACTTGATGTAGGAGTTGTATTAATTGCTTCTTCTGAATCCTCATTCTTTTTTGCTAATTTAGAAGATCTAAAACACATAAACAAATTTGTTTCTCTTAACCATATATCGTAACCATGTATCATAAATATACAAAAGTATGTGACATTAACACAATTGTTATTATAAATCATAAAAAAGAAAGACTTACTTTTTGTTAATAGAACTTTTGTCACTTGGACTGTCCAGTCGTTTTCGTTTCCCTTTTCCATTTTCTTTTACAGGATTTAACTTTATCTTAGGACTTAAATCTTTCTTAGATATTAAATCCTTTCCACGTTTGAGGCTAGTACTGATATACAAGCAATTAATACTATTGTTTAAAATTGTTTTACGCACATGATGTTCACATTTTAAATGTGAAAATAATAAAACAGACAAAGGAAGTGCCTGTTTAGAAAATGATATTAATTTTAACATACTAATACGTTTGCATTACCTTGAATTATTTTCACTGTCTTCAGTTTTGTGTACATTGGTTTTTGTAAAAAATGATCTGCAATAGAAATTATAGAAAAGAATATTTTACATGTTATTAGAAATTAAATTAAATATTATTTTTAATTATTAATTTTTATTTATATTACGTTATGCTCCTTTGTGACATTTTCGCGCCTTATTTAACCAAAAACAATTAATACTAACATGGCGTAGTTAAGTTGCAGCGTAATATTCAGATGCGCTACTGAAATATTCAAGTTAGTCTAATTAAATATATTTATTTATAAACGATAAACTATTTATTTGCATAATCCTATTTATAAACCATATTTGTATTCTCTCAATATTTTGTTAGATAATTAATAAAAATTATATCCTAAAATGATTGGTCTATTTATTTCATGCTTTGATTGGACAATGCGAAAACACTGGACAAATAAAAATTTGAGAAGAGCTACTACCTGATAATACCTCAGCACATGTAAACAATACCCATACGACTACGCTGCAATCAATGACGTCAGGCGTGAGATTTTTCCATGCGCCTGCGCACTTCTCTTACGCATGCGCACTTATGCATGTGAACTCTTACGCATGCGCATTTCTCTTACGCATGCGCACTTCTCTTACGCATGAGCACTTCTCTTACGCATGAGCACTTCTCATTCGCACGAAGGCTCCCACGTGGAAGAACATCCTACGTCTGGCAACAGTGACTAATGCTTGCTGTCTACATGTTTTTTCAAACTATGCACATTTGCAGTAGCTTGGAAAATATTCATTGTACTTTTTAAAAAACTAGGTATTTAACCATTTTTTATTATATCTAATTTTGTTAGTAATGGCACAAGCAGCCGTGAGTTTATTGATAACGCAGTGATTATAACATGAGAGGTTAATGACAAGTGAATAAATAAAAAATATATCGAGAGGAGAATTATTATTTCATTCGTTTTTGTTTCAATAAATAATTCCTAAGTGCAATTTGTTTATCTTTGAAAGAACGTTTAACTTTTCCTGCAACCTTATGTTTGATCATTTGATAATTTTTTGTCTTTTTCTTTTCACGATTCGTTTTACTGCACAATGGATTTTGACGGCCATCCTTATAACCAAACTTTTCTCTATCTTCTTGAGATTTCTGAATAAAACACAAAAGAGAATAATATATTTTATATTTCTAGACAGAAACATGAGTGAGAATATAGTATACGTACCTTTACAGTTTCTAATCGTGCTTCTTTATCATGCCTACGCTTTTTATGAATATTTTCAATGTCGCCAAGTTTGACTAATTCTCCTCGATTGTCATCGGATGGATGTGATCTTTTTACACCTACTTTAGCAGGCATTACTTGTTGTTTTATTAATGCCATGTCAATTCTTTTGAAATCTTCATCTGAGAGTAAACGTTCAACTGAAACTAAAGAGGCCTGTGCTTTTTTCTCTGCAGTTAACTCCTCTTTCTTTTGTACTTTGGCTTTTGCTTTCCTCTCCTCTTTTTGTTTTCTTCTCTTTAATTTCTTATCTCTTCTTTCTCTTCTCAGTTTCAAACGCATAGCGCTATTAAGTTTATTTGTTTTTACATCTTCTTTCAATAAGTTGTTTATTTTGTTGTTTTCATCATTAACTTCATTTTTATTATCTCCTTCTTTTTGTTTCTCCTCATTTTTTTCATCCTTGACATCATTTTCATCATCCATACTATTGTCATCAGAAGACATATCAGTTTCATCGTCTGTAACCAAGTCTTCGTCATTAACTTCCTCATCATCGGTTTGAACATCAATCCATTCATCGTCATTCTACAAAGAATAGAATTTTCTTAGGATAATCTAAACAAGATTGAAAATTCAATCTGATAAATTAAAAATATAATTGCACATTGATTAATATACCTCGCTATTTTCAGAATCAATTTCTAATGTGTCATTAGAATCCTTATTAAGTAACACTTCTGCTCCTGGAACAAAATCAGTAGCAGCTACTTCTCCATATTTTAATGTATCTAATTTTATAGTAGCTTCAGTTGGACGGCCTCTATATTTTTTATGCAGTAAACTTGGCATTGCTTGTCTATAGACAGCAATTAAAGAAGCTGCTGCCATCATAACACTGCGTTCTCTATAATGTTTATATTGAGCTAAATCTTTTAAAAGATCTGCGTTCATGACCAATGGACATCGTGAACATATTTCACGAACTGCATTCAATCTATCAACACACAATAAATATTTATATTAGAAATCACATCTACAAATTGCATAATAAAAACTATTATTATTAAATGATTTACCCAATGGCCATAACATCTCCAGAATTTCTTTCAGTTACGAAATTATTTACTAAAGTTTTAAGAACAGGTTCCAATACATCTGGAGGTACTAATTCATGACTGGCTTGCGCTACAAATTGCAGCAACTTTGTTACCTCTGTAATTTAAAATAACAATTAAAAATACTTCTGCCTGTTACATAAATTTTAATTTTTAACTGTTTTTTTTTTATATTGAAATAATGACCTCTCTGATGGGGTTGCAAGAATCGTTGCAAATATGGATAAAAATTAAAAAGGAACAAATTGTGCAAACCAATAAGTCTGGAGATTACATCTAAAGTCATTAATTTAATTTCAAATCGATCATTGTTCTTTTCTAATTGTTTAAACAATTTTTCTGCGAATCCTTGTGGATCGTGTATTAAATGTAACGCAGAAAAATTATATTGCGGAGCTTTAGCTTTCTTCTTTTTAGATTTCTGAAATATTCATAGTAAAGTTAAAAATACATTAATTATACTTGAAAATTGTATTTAAAATATTTTTTGGATGTTTTTACTCACAACTAATAATTGTTTGGCTTTCTTCAACATTTTTTCACGCTTCTTTGTTTTCTTATTAACTTTATTAGCCATCATAACTTCTTTAATATTTGGTTCATCATCACTGTCACTGCTATCGCTATCATTTACTTCATCGCTACCCATGAAAAATTTTAAACAGGTAACGACTACCTTAGTGATTTTAGAAAAGCAACCAGTAGCTATAATGTTTACTGTTTTAGCATCGTTCCATACATTTTTTCTGTATAATTCTATCATAACATCTGCAGACATTTTTGCAGCTTTTGCATTAGTATCTTTTAACATTGTAAATATAAAATTTTGCAAGACAGTGTTAACCTTGGCATTTTTATGTTTTGAATTAATATTCTTAATGTCAGTAATAATATGCGTTTGTAGAAATTGTCTCAAAGCTTTATCTTGGCATCTTAAAAGTTCAAAAAATAAACTAAGAATCGTTATTGGCTCTAACAAATGTTTGTTGCGCATCTGGATTAATGCCTTACAAAATGTCTAAAGAAAATTTGTATAAAATATAATTAATTAAAAATTTATCTTATACGAACATATGATTAGAATAATAAATTGAATAGAATATTTACCATTCGCATATCATTGTCTAAAACAGTATTATGTTTTCTTAGAATATCTATGATCTCCTGAGGAAAAGTTTTTAACTCATCTGGATAACAATGGGAAACCTAAATTAAAAAATTGAAAGTATGTAGATTTTGATAGAATATATAAATAAATATGCAAATATATAAAGACATTAAATTATTAAGAATATATGTACATATATTTTGATGATATTTTGTTTATTATATATCAAATATAAAAAATGAATACAAAATTATGAATAACTATTATAATACATTAAATGCATGTTCCATAAATGCTGTAAATACATTATTATAATAATAATATAAATAAAGAATATAAAAATCAAATCATGCATATGAATTCAAAAACAATAAAACTATCATGGCAATGAGATTTGATATAATTATTGCTCAGGATCAAACAAATAATCTCTTAAATTAATTCCTACTGTTTTAGCAATAATCAATACGAAATTATGATTAACACAACATTTCAATTTTGGTTCATCTAAATTACTTTCATCGACAGATGCTAATAATCCTAGTTGATACATTGTAGGAATTTGTGCAAGCAAAATAGCATTAACATCGACTTTTTCATTAAGAATAGTACAAAATATAGCAAGCAATCTGGATATAGGAAAACTACGTGGACCAGATTGCACATTCGTTGTTGTCTTTTTTCTCGATACTTTCTTTTTCTTTTTACTACTTAATTTTACGAAAATATGTTTATCTTCCTTAGGAGGATTGTACGATGCTAAATAAGCAGCTATTAAAATATATTTAGCATAAAATGGTAGTTCGAAACTTAATGCCAATTTAGCAGTAGATTCTATTTCTTTAGATGCATTACTATGCTGTACAAAATCTTCTGTTGAAACTCTAAGATATATAACTTCTAAATTAGCCATTAAGGTAGTTGAAATGTTTCGCCATAATCCTGAAACATCATCTTCCTTTATCGATCCAGATTTAATCGGTTCTATATATTTGTTAAAATTTATTTTAGCCATATAACGAAGCTCGTTAAGATCTCTACAAAATCTATAAAACACGGAGAGAAAAAGATTTAAATAATTTTTATAAATAATATCGCTATAATCTTTTGGCTTGTATAATAATAAAATATTCAACATTTCTTCTCTGGTATACTGAGCGCAATAAATTTTGATCGGTTCAAATAAGCCAACCTGTGTATAACATTTTTCCCATACTATATTGCTTATAAAAATTGTACAAACATTAATATTAGACAATTCTTTCAATCTTAAAAATACTGGGAAAAGACGACTGTCGGTATCTCGCATGTAAATGCATTTGTTGAAAACAATAATTATTGGACGATTGTCATACTTTGAAATTAATTGTAGTTTTGTTATAAAAGTAACTATGTTATCGCATTTAAGATTTCCAATATTATTAGCTAGATCTAGGTTAGATGTTAAATCTAAGGTTAAATCATTTAAAATATATTCAAATATATGTTTGTTGTTTATGAATTCAATGCAATTAATAATACTAAAATTATATTGTAAATATTTAAGTAAATGCAAAATAACTAATGATTTTCCGGTAGCAATATGACCATATATAAAAATGCTTTCCGGCATTGGTTCATCTTTTGTACCTATCAACGAATACAATTGTTTTATAATATCATCGCGACATTTGATTTTTTTATTGAGCTTTTTTAAACAAGACTCCATTTTTTTTTTTTTTTTTTTTTTTTATATTAATATGAATTACTTGACAAAATTTTATTTCTATTATATCTGAAAGAAAAATTATAAAAATATATTTACAGCGTTAACGAACACGTTAAAGAATATTATTAATTACGCGTATGAGAACATAAAATACAGTTAATATATTTTTAAATGATGTATAATTACTCACTTGTGTCATAAATATTATTAGTTCATCGAGTCTTTTATTAAACTCATTCGGTGACAAACTGAAGATATCCAAAGTAGTTTTGTAATGAAGATATTGCTGGAGAAACTAAAAAAAAACAAATAACTATTAATCATCTGATATATTACAATCACTCAATAAGAAAATAAACTATACAATTGCAATAAATATTTAAAAGAAAAACTTACTTCTTCCTTATACGATTCAGGATCACGTTTGATAAGATTTTGTAACTGTGGAATATTATTTGGAAGCTGATTATTATGACGAACCATTTTTCTTCTTCATTTATAACAAAATTTATAATAAAATATATTCAACACTACACTTATTTATAGTAATATTATTGTAATATAGTATATAAATATTACTGTATTGTAAAAGTCTGCACGTGTTTTTAACAGCCATGTAATACTTTCTATTCTCATGTACTACCAGTATTCACTATTTTTTCTCTATCATAAAATGTAACTAAAAGTATAGTGAGAAGCAATAGTTTTAAGCAGTTGGTATTTCGACTGATACCAACTGCCTAAATCTATTTTCCTAAATATTTTCAATACTTTTAAAAAGATAAATTGTTTATGAAAATTATATTAAATTTATGATTTACATATAATTTATTTTATTTTACTTTTTTGTTTATAAATAATTCATAAAATTATAAATTGAGATTTAAATTTTTGGGCATGCGCAATAAGTTATCTACCATGATGCTTTTAGTAATACGGGGTTCACACATATTTCTGAAAGGAGTCTTAATCGATCGACGACATCACTACGTCCACGACACCATTTGCTTTAGCATCGTTAGTGTCGAATTATATACTGAAATATATTGTGTAATTTTGTGTTTTTTGTGAGCGAAAATGGTGAAAATGGAACATGATGTAAGCAATTAACTAAATTCAATTATTTTAATAAACTTATTATTAATTTTATGATACTTTTTTTCGTGAGATAATATCATAGTATTTATCCATCTCTTGCTCCATTTTCAATGTATTCTAATTACGTATATACAAATTTATATTAGTTATTTCAATATCGTTAAAAATTTATTTATTTTCATATTATAATTTAATAATCTATTTATATATTTCAGATATATTTTGTACTTTATTTATTATTACAAGAATATTTATGTAAATTAAATTTTACATAACATCAGTGTACAACATTCTTCAATGTATTTTTTTTTTTTTTGGATCCATCCAAATTATTATTGTCCATTAATGTTATGTAAAGTTTATTATAAATTTAACTTATTAAAGTAAAATTATGTTTCCTGTAAATTGATAAACGAATTCTAAGTTGTTTCCGTTACAAGTACAATCCAAGTTTAGCGTGCCCACGCTACGCCATTTTGAAAGCGTCTTTGAAATTAAAATTCTATGTGTAATTTTAATGAAATATTATATAGTAACCATTAAAAAAAAAAGAAAAAGAAAAAGTTTGTTTTACAAATTTTTTCTTTGTCCATTTGAAACTAATTTTAATCGAAACTATAGCATTTATTTTCATGGTATAGATATATAGAATTAAACATTATTAATATTATTTTAGGATGGTAAAAATGAACCTGAACATGTCCGGAAATTGTTCATTGGAGGCCTAGATTATAGAACAACTGATGATTCTTTAAAAAAGCACTTTGAACAATGGGGTGAAATTGTAGATGTAGTTGTTATGAAAGATCCTAAAACCAAACGCTCTAGGGGGTTTGGTTTTATTACTTATTCACGAGCTCATATGGTAGATGATGCTCAAAATGCGAGGTGCGTATTTTACTTTTTAATTCTTATTTAATAATTTTCATATCTTTAACTTTGAATAATTATTTATTTAATAATAATATTTTATAGACCACATAGAGTTGATGGTCGTGTAGTAGAACCCAAAAGAGCTGTTCCCAGACAAGAAATTGGTACGCCTAAAGCTGTAACCGTAAAGAAATTATTTGTTGGTGCATTAAAAGATGATCACGAAGAAGAAGACCTTAGACAATATTTCCAAAGTTATGGAAGTATTAATTCAATTAGCATAGTTACAGATAAAGAAACAGGAAAAAAAAGAGGTTTTGGATTTGTTGAGTTTGATGATTATGATCCAGTTGATAAGATCTGCCTTCAACGTAACCATCAAATACGTGGAAAGCAGGTTGATGTTAAAAAGGTAAACATAAATTGTTTAATGTATGAATTATTATTTTCTATTTTTATTGTGTAGAAACATAGTTTATTATATGAAGTTTTGTTTTTTAATAGGCTTTGAGTAGAGCAGAAATGGCATCTGCTAGTGGAGGAGATGGTGGTGGTGGTGGTGGAAGCAGAGGAGGTCAAGGCGTTGGAAGAGGACCACGTGGTGGTAATCAAGGCGGTGGCAATTGGGGAGGACGAGGAAGTGGCGGAGGTGGTGGTGATTGGAATAATGGCGGTAATCAAGGTGGTTACGGTGGAGGTAATCAAGGAGGTTGGGGAGGTAACGGCCCATGGGAAAACCAGAATCAAGGTAAAGGTTCGCAGAAAAAAAAATCTTTTTACTATGTTATTATTACAAAACTTTATTTCATATCTTGTATTAGATGATAAAACTTGTTGTTTGTGTAAGTTGAAATCAAGCTATACAATTATGAAGAAAAAGTTTTGAACTACTAGATTAAAAAATAAATCAAAATGTGATATCTAATTTGAACATTACTTTTAAAGGTGGGGGATGGGGTGGTCAAGGTGGTCAGGGTGGTTACAATAGCGGTGGAAACTGGAGTAATGATAACTTTGGTGGAGGATATCAACAAGGCTATGGTGGTGGACCTGTACGAAATAATTTCAACTCCGGTGGCAGACCAGCACCCTACGGTATAAATATGGGTCCTAGTGGCCGACAGTCTGGAGACTCGAGATGGCTACCTCCCTTCGGTGGACAAGGTTGCTTCCCTCCTTCTCAAACGCCACCGCGTCTGCCACACAACTTGAGTAACTGTGTGCTTTTAAGATGTCACTAATAGTATGACCATATCTTAATGTACGATTTGTTGTATAAACATGTTGGTTTAAAATATCATATATCTGATATGATAATAAGACTTCCAAGTTGCACAAGTTGTGTCGGCAAAACATCAAAATTTATGATTGATTGATTTTAATTTTTTAAATAATTATATATCTTATTGTTAAGAGTCTACTTTTCATTTTTACTGAATTCTGTTTGGATATAATTTGATAAACATTGGATAGCATGGTGGGATTTTGATGCTAACTATTTGAAGTGTACTAACATTTGTTAAATACTTCTTTATATATACATATTAATTGCCAATATTAAATAATAAGAGGAAATGAATGTGCATATATTTAGGAGAAAAGACATCAGGCGCGATGTTGCAGTGAGAAGGAGCGCCTTTGTCCACTCTCTCTATCTCTATCTCTCTTTCTCTCTCTCTCTGCTATCCTAGGATATTCATTTAATTAATATTAATTAAAATATAAGTGAAGAAATAGATAGATTTAAACTATGAAAAACATCAGTAACTTTTTTCAGAAACATTCATCTCACATAACTCATATCAACATTCAGAAACGATGAAATATAACTATAAAGAAACATTTAAAATCATGTTTGTTAATTTTAATACACAAAGTGTATAATTTTACTAATATTTCTATTTGATTATGTTTACAGGACCAATGGGTGGAGGTAACTCAGGTGGTGGTGGTGGTTATGGAAATCAAGGAGGCTATGGTGGCAATTCTCTTGGTGGTGGAAATATGGGTGGCGGTGGAGGTGGAGGTGGTGGTAGAAGATACTAAAATTACTCCTTTCACAAGATCTGTTCATTCCTCCCTCACACGGTAAGCATGATTAATTCATTTTGGCAACCTTTTTTTTTTATTTATTTTCTTTTTTCGTCTTTTTGTTATAATTGTTTTTTTTTTTATTTTCGTTTCTTTTCTGAAAACTGTTACCTGTAGTGCAGGTAAACTCCTTGCTTCTTCTTCTGAACAAACCATATCCATCTCAATGTATACTTCATCTCTATTTAGATATATATTTAAGGTATTTTATATTTCGTTTAAACTATTCAAAAATAATTGAAAATAATTTTAAATATCTTGAATTGAAATAAAATTAAAAACCAAGTGCAGTACATAGAAATTGTTATTAAGGGTTTAACAGTCATATGCACAGTTCTATAATATTTATATTATTATAAATATGTAGGAAGAGTATAAGGTATTGAAAGGCACGATGGAAGACAGTTTATCAGATTTAATTAGCATATAGTTTATATTTTATTAATATTTTCACTTAGGGTAAATCAGTCATTCAATTAGAACAGGTATTCAGTAACAATATTTATTTTATTGTTAGTTCTCAAATTTTATTTAATATTTTATTTAAAAATTCATTCAATTAAATAGAAGAATTATTTAATTAAATTTAGTTGCCACTTGTTATTGAAATTTAATAAGAAATTCATCTGATTAGCATCTACATATAAGATATATGTATTATTATTATTATTATTATTATTATATATAAATCCACTTCTTTCAGAAAATACTTTGGACGTATATACTTTTGATTTGACGCTTGTTTACTTTTATTTTTGTCATTATTCTGATTTTGTTATTATTATCGTATAATATTAAGTTATTTCTCTTCTTCTCAATTTTGATTATTTTTATTTTAGTGCAGTGTCTAGATATTTGGTTGCATCTTTTTATTTTTTTGTTTACATATAGTTTAATTTCTTTTTGTTACGATGATATTGAAGTATTAATGCATATATAAATTATAAAAAGAAGTGTTTTATTTTTATTTTCACATAACACTTTAGCGCAAAACTTATAGATCTTTACAATTTCTGGAACTTTTCCAGTCATTGCAACTAACAGATTTATGAATTTTAAACCTCAGGTGAACCTACTACTTGTCTTCTAGTCGCCAGTACTTCTGTACTGTTTAGTAGTGGAGCAGGCAGGGCTATAAGGCTAGAGACAAGACCAGGCAGGACAATCAGGATAAAGGACAGAGAAGCATCATCTGTTAGCTCGCAGTGAGGGAGGCTTATGCCTATATTTGTTTCGGTATCTAGCACCTACCACATCCCCTACACATTCAACTCATCATGTGAAATTATTGCATCATATTTCTTAGGGAGTGTGCCAGAACATCTTGACTGGTACATATAATACTTATTAGAAGAGGCAATGATTATTTGTTTAATCATTACTATCACCCATAAAAGACTCGTGTATTGGAATAGTTAAGAAGTGAATCTTTTTCTGATTAACGGTATAATAGAATTATACCATGCAACCTGAGCTAATTGCATATTATTTGTTACATTCATTTTTCTTGTGTACCAGATTACGATTGTGTAGGATATATAATATTATGGACATTGATGGAAAGCTCAACTGACCCTCGTGATGAAAATCAATAGTCTATTTACAAATTTTTAGGTTTTACTATTTTTATCATGTTATTATTAGTTTAAATAAAATCAAGATCATCAAGGAAAACAAAACGAAATGAAGAAGAAAAAATGCAATCATTATAATTTAGGTAGAAATTCTTATTGGAAGCGATAATATAATCGAACGAAGAATATTGACAAAGTTTTAATAGCAGTTTAATTAAAAGTAGGCAATTGATGAAAAACGCAAGCCTATAGCGTCAGTCAACATTTCATAGGTTATTTAGATTAATCAATTATGCATTAAGTTGTAATGTTTTAAGAGTTAGCTAATAAAACTGACCAGAACCTTTTCCACGCCAATCTTTAATTTATGAAACAACGAAAAATTCGATCAGCAGCATAGGCTAAGTCAGAGGTACAAAAATTTATAGCTGTGAGGATTGCAGAGAACAGGGAAGTATAGAAAGAGGAAGACAGATGATAGTATAACTCGACGAAAAGATATACGATAGAAAAGATAATTGTACTTTTGTCAATCTATGTAGAAAATCAAGGCACCAATGAGTGTTTTATATTTATGTGTAAAGGCAGTATTAAATAATTTGTATATATGAAAAACAAAAAAAAAATACCTATTATCAATTTTTGTTTAATTTTAATAATGCGTAATTAAGATTTTAATGGATTTATAGTTGAAGGGATACGTTTGTCATCACCTCTGTTCGTTAAAATGATCATGAGAGACTTATATAAAAAATTATAACTTATATTAAACAACTAAAAGAAATACTCCATAGAATTCTTATTTCTACTATAATAGAAAATCGTTGGAAATATATATCTTTACAGAGTTTCATATAGGTTGGCAATTTAGATAATTATTTTCTTTCTAAGAACAATATATTGTTATTTTGGTTAATCTAGGAGTATTATATTAAGAAGTGTTTAGTATTTTATGTTACTAAATATTAATCGTTTATGTCATTTATCCAAATTGAAAACCTATTTCTATAAATTAAGGATTCTATAATTTCAGAAGATCTGATTTTCATTGTGTTGTTACTTCAATATTTTTCGTATCCCTCTCAAATAAATCCACTCAACTAAGGTTGAAAATTTACAATCAGTGTTGTACTAAATAAACATTATTGATACATATGATGCTTTTATACAGAGAAACTTAGGCTAGCAATATATATATATATATACATCATTAGTTGTTTCATAATTTACAAGATAATAATCCAATAATAATTTTATTCAAACTCATTTGTTTTTAACTACTGATTGTTTGGTATAGATATCATATCTGTCTATCTTATTTCATATATTTAAATATCATTGAGTTCAAATATACATATATATCAATCTTTTATTTATTCTAATTCTATATTCGAATATTAGATCAATATATATTAGTCGTAGAGCATCCCAGTTGTTTAGTTGACTGTGCAACACTGATATTATATTATTAGTATGTGTGTATAGTGTAGCTCGGCGTTTAAACATGTGCAGCTTATTAAAAGTTTTACATTTATATTTGAAATCAATGCTAAAAATGCTAAAGTTTAGCAATGTCTACTAGTCTAATTTATTTCCTTGCCTTGCAGTCACTTATTAATGTTACATTTATATTGATTCAATCAAATTTTGCTATATATATTATATAACAAATATATATATATACATATATATATATCTATGGTAAGTGAATGTGACTGTTATAGGTAAATCTGTGCTTCCTATACACAAATAATTATGTTAGAGTATGATAGGTAGTTTTGTCGTCTAGAATATCCACATAAGAGATTAATAAAAGTAAAAAGTAGTAAACATAGCTAGACTTTGTGGTGGATGGATCTTTAGTGTGGCTGATGATTAGAAGCATGAATACAATGAAGAAATGACAGGCAGGTAGCTGAACTAAAGGATTCTGACCTCTGCAGCAGACTAGACCTTGCTAGGATAATTACTAGCCTCTGTAGTGCAACCACAGGTAGGAATTCAAGAATCATCTGTTTAGATATATATATATATATAGGGAATTAAAAGGTAAATTGTGTATGCATGATATTTATAATGTTTAGTGGTACTCTGGTCCAAAATACATTTTATTTTGTTTCCTTATTTTTTTTTTTTTTTT